TCTGTCTCTCTGTCTCTCTGTCTCTCTGTCTCTCTGTCTCTCTGTCTCTCTGTCTCTCTGTCTCTCTGTCTCTCTCCGTTCGTGTCGTGTGCAGTGGTGCCCAACGCTCTGCTCAGCGCTGCCTCTGTCTCTTTCAGGGACGACCACGGCGGAGACCCGTATCACGGCGGAGGGTATGACCTGCCGTATGGGGGCGGTGGGGGCCCCAGCTACGCCCCCCCCCAGCCCTGGGGACACCCCGATATCCACCTCATGCAGCCGCATCATGGCATTCCCATCCAGGCCAGGTGAGGGGGGCGGGCTCCTGCGCTGGGGGTGGGGTGGGGCAGGAAGGCCTGCTGGAGACTTGCGGGTGCACCCCTGAACCGTGCTGCAGATGCTGCAGGAAGAGGGGGCCGCTGAGGGGATCCCCAGTAACTCATCCCGTGCTTCTTTTTTATCCTGCCCTTGCGTGTCCTGTTTCTCCCCACCGATCCCCGTCATCCGGCAGGCTGGGCAACGTGCACGACCTGGAGCTGGGCCCCCCGGCGCCCGTCATGAAGAGCTTCAAGGAGTTCCTGCTGTCCCTGGACGACTCCGTGGACGAGACCGAGGCGGTCAAGCGCTATAACGACTACAAGCTGGACTTCCGCCGGCAGCAGATGCAGGACTTCTTCCTGGCGCACAAGGACGAAGAGTGGTAAGGCAGCGCACCTCACGCCGAGAGAGGCAGAGGCAGGGAACGGCAGTCGGCGAGCTGGGGGCCAAGACGGGCAGAGGGAGGGACGGGCAGGCAGCGCACAGCAGGCCGAGAAAGGCAGGGGGAGGAAACGGTAGTCGGCGCGCTGCGCTCCGAGACGGGCAGAGGGAGTGAACAGCAGACAGCGCACGTTGAGAGCCGCATAGAAAGGGAACACCGGATAGGGCACCGCAAGAAAGGCAGGGAGGGATTGATGGGCATCACATCACACACCAGAAGAGGCAGAGAGAGGGAACAGCATTTAGTGCACTGCACGCCGAGAGGAACGGAGGGAGGGAACAGCAGACATCACACCGCACCCCGAGAGAGCCGCGTGGAGGGGCAGGGAGAGCTGGAGAGGAGGCTGGGTAGTGAGCTGACGCACTCACACGTGTTCGTTTCTGTATTTGTGGGAAATTCCCATGGATTCTCATACTGTTCCTACTGAGAGGCAAGCACTCTGTACTAAATCTGGAGTGCCGGTATGTTGTTGACGGTGGGCTAGTCACTTCCACTATGGGGACGTGCCAGCAGCACCTGTCAGGAGTTAGCGTGCCGACTGAAGCCTGGGCCTCACGTGGCCAGCGAGGCGTGTTTTCTTGCACCGCACCCACACACGCGTTTGGGGTCACGCTAGGGGTTAGGGCTGGAGAATTAGGGGGGTTAGGATAGGATCTGAGGTAGAGGGTAAAGTTGAATTTAGGGTCGGGATGCTGGAGAGATACCACTGTGTTTGAACAGCTGCAGGCCGCAGTCCCCTCCCCCCGCCCCCCCCCCGCCAGAGTCTTAACGAGTCAAATTGAACCTCGTACCAGCAGCCGCCGAAGGTTCCAGCAACAAGACATCACCCGCATCATTCGACCAGGGAGTAACCATGCCTGTGTCGGGCCAGGGGGAGGGCCAGTACTTCGTACCTGCAGCTGTCTTAACAAAATAAACGAGGTGATCACTGTGTCAGTGTCCAGGATTGTGACTGTATATAATTCTTTTTAATTTTCATTTTTTCTTTTGTTCAAATTGACTGCAACCTCCCTTCTCCCCCTTCCCTCCCCTCCCCTCCCCTCCCTCCTTCCTTTCCTTCATCCTCCTCCTCCTCCTCCTCCTCCTCCACAATCAAGGCTGTGGAAGATGCCAAACACACAGTCAGATCTGCAGGAGTCCTCGAGGGAGCCGGGCGTTCAGGCAGACAGGGCTGTCGCTGCGCACAATGCAGCGCTCTAGAAACCACAGTGCCAGGGCTTTTAGTCAGACAGGGCCGTTCGCCGCGTTTCTTTCCAAAACCAAACCCAGACCACAGAACCAAAGGTGCCCTCCTCCCTTCCCCATCAAAAAAAAAACAAAAAACAAACAGACCCTATCTCTCCCACAACTCACAAAATTGGGCGAGCCTTGGAAAGTGTGATCGGCGCCGAGGGGCAGAAGCGCCCCTCTCTCAGTAAATGTGTGTTGTAAACACAAAGGTAAATTGGGCGAGAACGTGGCACATCTCTTGTTCTTTGTATTCTTATACTGTTTCTTTCAGTTACTAGTTTTTTTTTTGTCTTCCTCAATATTGCTTTAATTGTTGGGCAATTTTTTTTTAAGCGATGAGGTGGGGCGAGATCAGGGCTTCCCAGTATATTGTAGATCTGTCCTCGGGGGCCGAGACCGAGAGGCTGAGACACGGGAGACGCCGCTGACCCAGAAACGCCCATCGCAGTCCCGTTCCGTAGCACTCCGGTCTGCTCCGGGTTTTACCAGGCGCAGGAGCCTTGCGTCCAAACTTGTCCCACTGAAGCGGCAAAGCAGGGGCTTAAAGGAGCCTTTCTGCGACCGGTAAAACCCGGAGTGGATCGGACCGCTTGGCAGTGGGAGTCTGTTTCGGCGGCGGTGCTCATTTGCCTCCCCGAACGGCAAGTTCCGTTTTCGTTTCTTGCGGCCCTGTTGTTTGTGCGAGTGCGTGTATCGCCCCTTGCCCGCACCAGTGAGCTCTCCCGTCTGTCCGCGTGTCGAGAAGCGCAAGCAGACCCGTCCTCTGCCAGCACGCGTCCCGCCCCAGGCTCCAGAGAGCACCCCCCTCTGAAGTCCAGATATTACTGGGAAGCCCCGACTCTGTCCTTCCGCAGAAACTCGGACTGTAATCAGGAGGAATTAGGAATAATGCATGCCTGGGTCCCTGAGACGGAGAGCCTGTGTTCGAGAGAGTGAGAGAGAGCGTGCGTGTGAGTAGCAGCGCTCAGTGTTGTTGGGGATTTTGTTTCTTTTTTACTTTTTCAAGCCATTCCTCTAGTGGCCTGTACTCTGTGAGCTTAAGCCATGGGTGGTGGGGAACACAGGTGCGCAGTTTGTCAGACTTGTCCAGCAGCTGAATCCTCCCACACGTAATTCCAGCGTAGCAGTGTCTCTAATCCAGACCGGGTCTTGGGAGACCGGGGGGGCGGGCAGAGCTGTGGTACCGCCGGCCAGATCGTGGGCCGGTCCAACAGACGGGACACGAGGAGGTTTGGATCTTGCCTGGGGGGGGGTGTGGTGGTGCAGGTAGGACCCTGGAGCACCAGGCCTCTGTTTGTCAGTGCAGAGATCAGGCGGGTTCGGGGGTGGATCTGATTTTTAAACGGATCCCTCCTGCCCTCCCAAAGCAAGACCCTGAACCTCCTTACAAGAAGCCATTGCTAAGGATACCGTTGCTCGTCCAGCCCCCCATTGGTCTCCCAGAGTCGCTCTGTATAAAATTTGCAGCTTAAACTGACTAACTCCAGCACCTGGCCTCTGTAGAGGAGTGATGATTTATTCCTGCACCAATCCCGCGATTTCTCACAAGGCGTCTCTCCCTTTCCTTCTCCCTACTCCCGCCCCTGACCCGGCTCGGCCCGGCCTGCTCGGGTTCTTATGGGTTTTCAGGTTCCGGTCCAAGTACCACCCCGACGAGGTCGGCCGCAGGAAGGCGGAGGCCCACAGCGCCCTGCAGAACCGCCTGGGCGTCTTCATGTACCTGCTGGAGAACGGCTGGCTGGACAACATCTCCCTGGACATCGACCGCGCGCCAGCCATCATCAAGATCCTGGACGCCGGTACGAGGAGGGGGACAGGGGTGGCGGGGGGGGGGGGCTTCTGGGAAAGCCGGGCGCCTGCCATCATCATGAGGGCTGGAGAGGGAGTGGGGTGTGCTCTGCTCTTTTGTGTTTGTACTGTTTTCTGATTTGGTGGCAAGAAATTGGGAAACGCAACCGGAGCGACTCAAGGTTTGCGGCCTTTTGTAGAGCCGGGTGTTCTACTGGAGCAGGACAGGTGATGCACCTCGCTCAGGGGGACGGCAGCAGTGTGTTTCCTGGGATTTGAACCCGCAACCTTCCGCTTTAGAGAGCGCCGCGCTGCTGCAGTCCCTTCTTTTACCAGCCTCTCTCTCTCGCTCGGTCCCAGCTGTGATCAAGATGGAGGGGGGGACGGAGAACGACCTGCGGATCCTGGAGCAGCCCACGGAGGAAGAGGAGGAGCGAGGCGGGGGCGGGGCCGGGGGGGCAGCCGAGCCGGCCAAGAGGGAGGAGACGCGCGGTGGGGACAGCGAGCGGAAGCCCCCCGCTGACAAAGAGGACAAGGAGAAAAAGGTAACCCAGACAGGGAGCAGGGGACACAAGGGCCTTTGACACAGAGCTGTGCCGTTGGAGCCAGTTCCTGGCAGGAAGATGGGATCGAGGGATCGAGGCGTGTCTCTGCAGGTTTTAGTTCTAACCCAGCTCGTTCGGTGAGCTCATCGCAGGCTTATCTGCCGCAATCGGACAGCTTCTCCCAGCTCTTCGGGTGGTGCTGCTTTAAAAGGACCTTCAAAACCTGCAGGGATCCGGGGCTCCCCTGCGCGGGCCTCATACGGGCTCCTGACCGAGCGCACGGGCTGCACGCGACCTCTTCGGTTCTGACGTTTGTGTCCTCTCTGCCCCAGGGCGAGAGCGGGGGAGGCAGTGGGGAGGAGAAGCTGAAGAAAGGAGGAGAAGAGGAGCAGGGGGAGAAGTCCAGCGCGAAGGAAGAGTCCGAGCCCAAGAAGGTACGTGTTCCCTGCGGCTCGGTCTGGACACCTCCCTCTCGCGGCGAGGCGGCCGTCACCTTCCGGGCCCGGGCCTCCCGCTGCGGTCCAGACCACGCTGGCGGACTGTCCTCCGCGTAGAGCAGCAGTGGGGCACAGGAGCAGTGGTTTGCTTTAACCCCCACCTCCCCGTGGTCTTCCTCGCAGCTGAGCAAGAAGAGGAAGAGGAAGCGCAGCGGAGACAGCGAGGATGAGCCCAGCGCCTCCGACAGCGACTCCGACTCGGAATCCGGGAGCGAGAAACCGGCCAGAGATGAGGAAAGGGAGGACGAGGAGGAGGATGAGGAGAAGGAGGAGGGTGAGTCTGCTGCAGAGCCACAGTCTCTCTGGAGTTGCCATTAGATCATCAATACCGAAAGCTATTGGAGATCGTTTGGAATAAGATGTAAAATCCCTTCAGTCCTCAGGGACCAGAGCTCCCCTGCTGGCAGCCGAGCTAATTACCCGCCTAATTGATCCGTAGCTTATAGGTGTTCCCAGTCTGGGAGCTACTGATGCAGGCGAGCCTAGAAGACATACTGGGCTGGGGCTCTACAGACCACTGCTGTAGAGTATGTTGCACTGGACTGAGTGTGTTTACAGTCTCTACAGATCTGATGGTGATGAGTGTGAATGTGAAGATCCAGATGAGCTGGACTGAGTGTCTTTACAGTCTCTACAGATCTGATGGTGATGAGTGTGAATGTGAAGATCCAGATGAGCTGGACTGAGTATGTTTCAAATCTTCTCAGTGGTGGTGAAGGAGAGGAAGGAGGAGAAGCTAAAGGACCGGGAGAAGGAGAGAGAGCGAGAGAGGGAGGAGAAGAAAGTGAAGGAGAAGGAGGTGGAGATACCGCCCCCCCGGCCGCTGCACAAGACCTGCTCCTTGTTCATGAGGAGCATCGCCCCTACCATCTCCAAAGCAGAGATTGTTGCTGTGAGTCCCTGTCGCCCCTGAACACCCCCCAGGCTGCCTCTGCACTGCCCTGTAGTTGTTTCTCCATCCCTGCAGCAGAGATCATTGCAGTGAGTCCGTTGCCTCTGAACACTGCCAGTCTCTGCACTGCCCTCTAGCTGTGTCTCTGCATCGCTACAGCAGGGATCATTGCAGTAAGTGTCTGTCAGTGCTGTCTTGGTGCTGCCACCTTGCTGCTTGACCATGATTTAGAAGCACCGCGTGTTGTCAGTTCTACATTAATCCTCCCTTTTAAACTCCCCATGACTGATGGTCACTGAGCCCCAGTAACTCGGTTACCAAAGCTAGCAGGCGCTTGTACTGCCCCCTGTATCTTCAGTTCTGCTGCAGAAATCCCTCATCCTGCCAGTTCTGAAGCTCTGATTACTGTTTTGAAAGACTTAGCACGCTGGGATCTCAGCCTTTGAAATCCCCTCCCCTTGTCTCACTCTCCTGTCTCCCCCGCAGCTGTGTCGGCGGTATCCTGGGTTTATGCGAGTGGCCCTGTCAGAACCCCAGCCTGAGCGCAGGTGAGTCTCCTGCACCTGTTCCTACCTGGAGGTTTTTTAGTTTCCGGGTCCCCGGCCTCAGTAACAGCCCTGTACC